GGGGATGCTGGACAATTCGCGCCAAGTGTAAGGGAGTTTCTTTCATTGGTCATACCCTCGGCGCTGCACCAGTTTCATCCCTTCTCTATTACCCAGGATCACTGTACCCTTTATCGCAAGGGCAAAACCACTACAAGCTCTAATCGATAAATTTTTTTTTCCATTTTAATTTTGACTTTTTAATTGTTCAACCTTTAATGGCCAAATTCTCAATAGGCTTTTTCTCCAAGATTTCTCTCGGTGTCAAATATAAGTCTGTCTATGTAAAACAGTCAATTTCAAATGTTGATGCAAATCAGCCTCTTCTTCGATACGTAGAGCAGGGCCGGGCGCTACAAGAGTTGTCGCTGTCGGAGACAAATGGGAATTCTACTATTTGGCCAGGTCGCGCCGGAGGCTTATGCTTGCAAATGTATTCGCAACGTGCATCAGTCGCCATTCGGTATTCGCCCATTTACGTGTCACGTGACGCTTTCTAAAGGGACGCCGGAAATATCAGGAAAGTAACCGAACCCCAAAGGATCTACGTTAGAAACTAAAGTTTCTAGCTGCGTAATATTCAGCTATCTATGTGTTCTAGCTCTTGTTTGTATTCCCTGTATGGCACAGGATTGAAGTCACGGATAACCTAACCAACCTAGAGTGACAATCTACTCGGGCAGCAGCGGTTCGCTGTTATTCTGGCAGACGTTCAAGTCGAATGGCCGCTTAGGGGTTGCTGCGAACGTACGAACTTGCAAGCCTGCAGCCCTTTATCCAAGTATCTCGTAGCAATAGGGGACGGAGCGAAGCTCGCCGGAAAGAGAGCTTTTCTCGCTCCTGATCTGGCATCGAGCCCATCGCACTTCTTTCGTGACCCAAACGAAACGAAAGAACCCACTTTGGGCATCCGACTCCCTCGCGCCTTCGGACATTTAACCAACCCTTTGGTCCCCTGCTAGATTTCCGACTGAATACACTCTCTTATATACAGACGATCCTGACAGTGCTGCCATCTTCGTTGCTCCTTTTTATACTTTCGCTTAAAATAACCCAACCCTCTGGAACTTTGAACTTCACTACGTTAATTTTCAAGGGGGAAACAAAGAGGCTCGATAACTGTCGTATTTATTATTGTGAAAACTTTCATCCCCTTGTACACGGCTGTACACCTTTGATATACTTGTGCTAACGTAACCGTAATTTTACTTTGGTTCCATTGTAAGCGTTTTTACCTCGGCAGGATCCCAAATGCATCTTACAGACGCTTCAGCCATTTGGAACTTTTCACTTATAACCAACAACAATTCACGTGCTAACCATTACAAACTCCTTCTTGTACTTTGGCAAGTTTCACGAACCGGGAACTTGATGGTACTCGTCTTGTAGGATTCTAGTTTATTACGGAAATTCAAGTATCGCTAAATGAGTTTCTCCGTCTTGTATTAAATCTATGGAAAATGTTGATTGCACTCAAGGGACATTATCGATGCATTTCTGGTGCTTTGAATTTTTTATAAATGCACTCGATCCAGATGCATCGTCACCTTCAGGGACTTTTTCTATAGCTGCCTCGAAACCACTTATCTGCATTTGGAATTGGGTAACGTCCGATCGATCAGTTAACGTAACGAATACGAAATGACTTGAGAATTTGGTTTCAATGTTTTATCTTCAATTCGAAGTAAGGGTTCACTCACACTGAAATTATTTCGTGATTCAAAGACAAGCAATAATTGACTCTTTCGAGGTATCCGCAAAGGAACTTCACTTCGATGTACTATATACACGGCGTTAATGAACTGCTAACGTAACCAATAAAAACTGACCTTTTTTTTCTATCGTAAAATAATGTAACTTAATTGCATATATGAACTAAATTGGTATTGGTATCCGATAACGATATTGCCATTCAACATTAATTGCAATTTACGAATAAATGAAAACCACTGAACTTTTCTTTTAATGGGTTTGCTTTTTTATGCTTTTCTTTTTATCGTACCAATTTGACACATCCAAATTCATTATCCCTCAACGAGAGCATGAACCCTACCCTATTAATCTTTATCAATTGTACCAAATTATATTGATGAAAGTAAATAACAAAATTTCTGAACTTTACAATGTTTCCGAGGTAAATATTCAAAGCACCGTGTGCAGACCTTTTGAATTCTCGCCATCAGGCTAGTCGAGCAGACTTATAGCAGGAGAATGCACGGGAGTTACCTTGTCGAAGGTATGGGATGCAATATGGTTAAGATATGTAAGGAATTTCAGTAATTCATGGGATGTGTTTATACATATATAGCTAATCCTCCATTCCTCTCAGCATATTTGAGAAGACGTTGACCGTAACGGATAAACTGATCTATGATATTCCATGAAAACTTTCTTTTCAAAAATCCATTCAACGTAAAAAAAAACGGTAATTTAAAAATTTTCAACGTTTAAAATAATTAACTCGTTTAAAAACGCGTAAAAAAAAATTAAACGTTTAAAAACCTATAAGTCATTACAGCACAATTTATACGTAATACAGGAAGATAATATTTATCATTCATTTTTTATTCCGAATCCAAAATGGGTCACGTGTCATTACACAAACTGCTCCATACGTAGTTTTGGCATTGAAAATTGTATCACGACGCCATTCAGGTACGCATAAGTGCAACGTTACAATCAGAATGCATGCACCGTGGAGTCACGTCCTTTATTGCGAGACCATTGCACAATACTTTTATACGAGCTGTACTTATTTTTTTTAAGTCACGGCTAAATACGTTCAACGACTTCTACACATTAGCTTCTGCAATAGAATAAAAAGAAAACCTACCCGTACGTTATACGTCTAGTGGTACGCCATTGAAAGCCTCAGAACGTATACAGACGAGGGTTGGCGTCAAAGGGCTAAGAGGTTACTTGGTCGCGTGGGTTCGTACATGGGCCGATTTCAAAAGGGCCAAAGAAATCGGAAAGAAAAGCATTGGAAAAAAGCGTGGAAGCGCGAGTGAGCAAAGTGCGTGCGCGAGTGCGCGTGTCGGACGTCGTTGAAACAATTAAAAAAGAATTGGACGCGGGAGACTCGAAAGTCGAAGCTGCCGTATAAAAGGAGCCAAGGAGAAAAGGGCCACGAGTTTACCTCTGGGAAAGCGGAGATTAATCGAACCGACGACTCCTTGTCAGCTGTCCTCGAGAAACTCCCATTTAATTCGAATCGTAGGTTGGGTGACCTTCGAAAATAATGCCTACTGCGTGGCTCTTTCAGAACACTTGCCCCAACTTTAGCTTTGACTTGGTCGATTTTACGGGCTATTGACAAACAGATAATACGATGCCTCTGTTTACTCAGACCTTTTGTAAGACACGTTATTCCCGATCGCTGTCTCGCTGAACCTTATACGATTGATCGAATGTAATTCCAATACAGGATCGTTATAATCTTATAGGTAAACCGCGTACTTAAATTGTTTCATTAACTTTAGATAGAAAATTATCATGGATTTATATCGAGGGAGTAGATATTCAATTGAAATTCGAAATCGAGCAGTATCCCGTTTCCGGGAAAAATTCTCAAAAGCTCAAAGAATTATTGTCTGACTGACTGGTTTGAATATGAAAGCGTTACGGCACTTCGATTCACTGGCTCTTTCACTAGTTTTCTTTCTGCGCCCTGGAATCGCTCCTCGTCGATGGAATCCTTGTGCCAACAGGAACTCCTCGCAAAGGCACTCGAGCATGCAGTACGTGCCCAGGATGACGATTTCGTCCTAGTCTGCGACCCATATAAAAATACCACCTCGAATGCGGCACCTGGCGGCTGCATTTTCAACAACACGCCAGCAGCTAAATTACTGCTGTAATTTTACACGACAATTATGAGCGGCCTTGCTCGAGAATTGAATATTTTTTTTTTACCTAACAATTTTATTTACACTCCTATCAAAGGGATAATTCCTCAAATGCGAAATGCACGAGCTTCGTGTTTTTCATATGCAATTTTTTTTTTACATGGTTCTGATTCCGGGACAGCGTCCAGCTTTGATGGTACCCCTACGAATTTAGTCCCAGTCTTTTTTTCTTCCTACCACTACCCACCTTCCCTAGCCACTCAATCACCAGCAGCTATCCCCTTATCGTCACCGTCACTCTACCAGGAACACGGCAGCCGCGAATACAGGAACAACGTAGAACAATCGCTCACGAAAATACTCTACGATTATCTCAGGTTTGCCTCTACTGGCGGCTTCCACTTCCTTCTGTTCTCTTCGGCCTGTGTGGTACATTACATTTATGTCGGTAGTTACGCCACGTCCTACAGCCACTCAGAATATTAAACAATAAAGGAGAAATGGCAGAAGCCGGTAGCTCGCTGGATGACTGGACTGGCTTGACGCGTTGGCTGACGAACTGGCTGCCCTTCGTGCGTGTTGACGTCTCTAATAAATTTCTACAAAACGCCTGCAAGTAACGCAGTGACGTGGTTTTCGCGCTGTGCGCTGCTAGCCGGATAATAATCTCGACGTTTCTGACGGCTTGCGGAAAAAAAATGAGTCCCCGTGTTGCGATAACGTAAAGTAGTGCCGCAGACTGTATACAGGTATAAGGGAAGCTCGATGTAGGCCACTGGCTACGAATACAAGCAATTGCGGTAATGGAGGCGGGGAGTGGGATGACTTATTATTTTGATTTACTTTTCTATGTTTTTCTTATTCTTTGCTTCTTCGAACCATGACTTTTACTCGATGGGCTAGTGCTGTTGGGATTTACGTTAGTTTATTACTTTTAACGATCAGTCGAACGAGTCCGATGTAGACATTATTCGATTGGATCTTTTGATAAATCGGGTAGCTCATTCCCATTTGGATTCTACAGAGATTTTGGTGATTGACAAATCATTGGACTTTGGTATGGATGATTTTTATATCAGAGCTGGTTATTTTTAATTCGATATCATCTAATCGAATTCATAGTAGCAGGGTACTTTCGGGCAATGAAACAAATGAATTAGAGAGGATGAACAAGTGAGCTGTGAACTGTCATTCGATTTTGTGATTTTGGTCGAGTAACGAGGATTTTTCAAATTCAGTGTTTAATATTGAGCTAGGATAATGGCGAGAAAAAAGAATGGACGGAAAATGGTGGGAACAGGTAAAAAGGGTAAAAAATATCAGAAGCAACAACCACTAAAGATCGCAACCCTTGTGCTCTCTGCTATTCAAGATCTTCGTGAAACCAAAGGATCTACGTCTAGGAAGATCCTTGGACATATAACGTACGCATCAGATTTACCACAAAATCGTGTTAAGCGACAGGTATGGACAATTGGAAGTGTGTTAATTGACGGATGAAATTTTATTTTATTTTTTTTCCAATATTCAGGTAAAACGTGCTCTGCAGCGTGGTGTCGAGTACGGTATTCTCAGGAGATATCGCGGTCAGTATTTCCTACCGTCGGGGGATGAAATGGAACGCGCCAATCGGATTGCCAATCGATTTGCCAAACTCAAAAGTTCAGCACCCCGCATCACCGAGTCCTTTGCAGATCAGAGGAGAATTTTTTCAAGAGACCCGGCAAAGAGATATTATTTGAGCAGGAAAGGCAAAGTAGTAAATAATTTTGACAAAAAGACCAGAGGCAGAACACGATCTACGCCAGTATCTGGCGCTTCCAGTTATCTCAATCACTTTTGAACGTTTATCTCAAAATCGATTACCCTATTAATTTCTTAAATTCTCGTGCAGAGATACCGTGAAAAGTCTAGTGTCTCGTTTCTGTAACCTTAATAAAATATAGTTCATGTCATTATTATTTATTTTCGAAAATTCTAAAAAACTCAATTACGATCTTACGAGTGACTTCGGCACAGAAGATGCCTTGAGTGGTTTCATTATAAATGAGCTTTGATCTTTTTTGCTTCCTTCATTCGTCACGGGCAATCGGGGCATTTAATAATTGCCAAAATCAGCTGTTAAATTGTAAAAGAATTTTCCGTATCATCGTCTCACATTATTCGGGCTATTTTTTTGTCTCTATTAAAAGTAAATATTCCCTTTCAAAATTTAATCACCTCTTCACTTTGTCCTTTGAAAAGTCGCGTACTTTCTAGTCGTCTTTATAAATTGATCGGTGAATCCTGAGACTCGACCTAGTCTCCCCGAGCACTTTCTTTCACTTCGAAAAAATCCTGAGTCAAAGGACTCGACATTTTTAAAAAATTTGACAGTTTTCAACTTACAAGTTAAAGGAACATCGTAAAGCTGTGACGTGGCAATTTACAAATTCGACTGGACAGAGACGATAGTTCGATTGGGACAGCGACAGGAGATTCCCGTAGGGACAGCTGCCGCTGGTCCAATAGAGAGTTTATAAGGGTCAAAGAGATGCTGTGAAAATGGTTGGAGCCCGTGACGATCGAGTAATCCTCGAAATTCAGTGAGTGTAGACAATTCGAATCCGTTTAAATGATAATTCGGAGTGCTAGTTGGCATCGAGAGGATCGAACGATATCGATTATTGTAGCTGGCCGATCAGGATCGGTAAAGGGTCACTGCACGATACCAGTATCGAAGCCCATCGACGTCAATGAAATACCCAGACCGAAATCAGCCCTTACAGCGCAGTCCTCTCACGGCTAATTATCTTCTAAACAATGAGCTATTACGTCAGTATTCCCGTTAACCTATATGTGTTTCCCTGGCTATCCTCTTTACCGGTTTAAATTGCCTCTGATGACGTTCGCTCTTGTTTAGGAGGAACAATAAATCATGCTGATTCCCTATCGATTTAGCCCAAAACTCAATACAACACAATACAACACAACGGGCATCGATCAGCTTTCAATTCCATCATCCCCGATAACGATAACACCCTCCCTAAAGAAGATGGCCGACTAATGGATCACTGTTATTGGCATTGGGTTTCGCGCAAACAATTAACTACCAAGCAAACGGGAGGAAGGCATATTTGATCAGGGAGCCGATGATGGGCCTGAACTTCCGTAGAAACTTCCCTGCCTAGGTAAATCAGTCTTGACCACCATCATCTCATCCCTTACATTCAAAGAGGATTACTGCTTTTACGGATCGATAATTTTCCCTTCAGTTTTTAATTCTCGTTACCATTGGTTATCTCACCAGCAGAAGTACTGGTAGACAATTTTCTCCCAATGGGTAACCCAGTATGGTATCAGATGAAACCCAGAAAATCCAACCCACTGATACAAGCATACCACGTGAATTGGCCAATACGTTTAGTTTAAGTTTGTTTAGGATCCAATTTTTACTTTTTTATCAATTAGTCAATTGGAATTATATGGTACAGCTTATTGACGGTATTGTCCTTTACAGATAATTAATCCTCCTAATTACTACTTAATTGGACGTGCTGTTTACTTGATTCGTATATTTATTTTTATTTATGTGATTAATGTCTCTACACTCCTAATTCCCACTGAACGGCCGATTTCAGATGACTCTATAAATCTTTGCGTTTATCTGATTCAGCCTTCTTCGAATTCATCTCACAGCATCCGGGTTAACTATCTCATAACTAGAAATGTTTCATTCCTCGTCCGGTAGGCACTCGATTACCCGGTATCGGGAACTGCTGCGAATTCTCAAGGATCGGAGGGTAGGAGGCTACCGGTATATAGGGATTTGGATGGAAGGATAGTCAGGGGTAGAATAGGGGTTTGATGCCGACCAAAAGCCACGACTTCTACGGGATGAGGGTGTAAACTGAATGGAAGCGGAAAGGTTCGGCTCGCAAGCTCCTCTTGAAACAATGCACGTTGAACATAACCCGGAGGGTTCACGCCCTATATCCTTCTCACATATGACACACCCGTGTGAGGGGTCGAGTACAGTTACATCATTCCTTCGGTACGTGTGCTGAGCCGTGTGGCACGATGGGGTTCGGAGACTATGGAACTCGTATGATCGAGTTTCATAATCGTTCAGAAACCCGATTTATGGAGAAGTCGTGTTCATTGGAGCATGGTGGGATATTAACTTGGAATTTTTGTTTTATAAAGTAAAAAAATTTCTAAAATTTATTGAAACGACTGGGCTGCTTTCGTTTGTTCGTGGAAAAATGAAAGGGGTAAGGCGCACAATAAAGTCACGTTCCCGTTGATTCAGCGATTTTGAGGAAGAGGGTAGCTTTGCCAGTTGCCCTCCTGACCTGACTTTTACCCTTTCTCTTCCTTTTCCTTGTTTCCTTTTTTTTTCTCCCCTCTACCTTACGCTATTTCGTATCACGGTTTTGCCTTTCTCCCTCGTTACTTTCCGTACCATGTTTTTTTTTGCTTCTTTCAACACTTTCTCGCTGACTTTTTTTTTTTAATCTCACCACACCGAACTGACACGAAATTAAAGCGCACTCGCTGAATGAAGTTCAGGTCTTGACATTTCCCCTTTAGTGCGTCACAGCAGTGGGTCAGGGTAGCTAGGAACGTGGGAGAGGTATGCAGAAGCTGGGAATATTAGACAGGTCCGCCAAGACTGTCTTGTGCCTTTTCCTTTTATCCATCTACCAACAATAGGAACACAGTTCTACTCTGAACTATGGTTAATATCGTTGCATCAGAGTAAGTATACTCAATGAAGTCAAAATTTGACAGAGGGCTACCGAGGTATAAGATCAGAGTGTAAGGTCTATCGGAATGAAGTAATAGGAGATAAACGAATAAAGGGTCCAGGCGTTCGGTCTACTTCCTAAATTCCTTTAAGTCCCTTCAAAGAAAGGGACCGATTGTTTGTCGAATTTCACGGGCTATTCACTCGTCTTCTCTCTCTCTCTCTCTCTCTCCCGCACTCACTATCACCCCTCTTCCTCGTTCAGTTTCCTTCAGTTCCCTTCGTTCTACACGCTATATCCAGGTTCTCTCAGCTCTGAACTCCTCTACTCTCTAGATACAGTCCCGGACTCCCTGAACTCTGCGGAGCCTGCGGAGACCCCAGAGAGTGCGCTTCCGCGATTCAGGAGATTAATGATCCACCGAGGTGAAAAGTGCCGGGGAATTATTTCACAGAATGGGGAACAAAGGGTTGTAGGTTAGGGATTTTTATCTTTCTTCCTTTCTTCCCTTTTTTCCCTCCCTTCGACCCCTCACCCGATAAGATTCCGCTGTTCGCCAAGCTTCACTGCCCCCCCTCCCCTCTGAATCTCCCCTGTTCATTCTTC